CTCTTGCTCATTCCTCTGCCTGAAACCCTTTTTCCCAAATAGCCACGTCGTTCCCTCCTCCCCACCTTGTTCCAGCTCAAGTCTTTGTTCACAGGTCACTTCCCCGTGGGGCCCTCACTCTCTGATGGCCAACACGGCCACCACCTCTACCACCACCGTGGATTTGTGCCATATACCTAACCTTCTCTCAGGCCCTTCTGCTGACGATAGCATTGAGCACTTTCTGGGCCTGGAGGGTGCCCTTGGCGTGGGGGTGGAGAGATACACAGGCTTTTCTACTCTAGCCATAAAGAGCAATGAACTTCACAGCAGTGCTTCCCTCCAAAGCCCAGGCTGTGTTTAGAATACCAAAATTGACAAAGTACGATTTAGTCACTACTCTAAGACCTAAGTTAATCTCACATATATGTCCTCTTCCTTAGGAAAAACATCAAGCTCTGTGACAGCTTACCCACTTTCTTCCCCATCTCCACTGAAATCTGTACTCCCCTTCTATCTGTCCCTAGAAACATGTCCTCCATGTTTGAGAATATCAGTAAGAATTTGGTCAAAGAGCTCGGAGACAAAGACCTGACACCTGTGAAACACCTGCTGAACGCCAACAAATTCCGTCAGTTTGCAATTTTACGGAAGAAAAAGAAGACTCTCTCACAGTTCTGGGAACTACCTGATATTCCAGTAGAATACACCCTCATGGACATCCTGGAGCCAAGTTCTTCAGTCCCAGGTATTGCCAACAAGGGCTGGGAGGCAGGGAGTGAAAACATAGGTGCCCAGACAGGTAGTGCACCATGCAAGAATCCCTGAGACACACACACAGGTAAACGTTAGGAGCAGTTTTGCCGAAAGACACTGGGCAAGAACCTATGACTATTTGAGAATCTACTAATATCTGGACCCGAGCATTTATGAGTTCATTTAATACTTCTAGCAGCTTCTTAAGTCAGAAACATTACCCCCAGTTACAGAACAGTGAATTGAAACTTATAAAATAATTTGTTCTAGGTTATGTACCTGGGAACTAGTAAAACGAGAATCCAAACCCAGATCTGTCTGGCTCCACATGCTTAACACTTTCTGCTCCAGCATGCTGCCTCCTGGGGCCAGATGCTGCACCTGCTGCAGAGGAAAGATGATGTCATGGGTCTCCTTGACCAGGGCACACACGATGTCACCATGTCTCAGGGTTTGAGATGACATCGCTGTTATCCGACCCTTGGGTTGATTCAAACATTTGTCCTCAGCAGTAATTTACACTTAAAACATTATTTTGTCGGGAATGCAAGCTGGTGCAGCCACTCTGGAAAACAGTCTGGAGGTTCCTCAAAAAACTAAAAATACAACTACCCTACGACCCAGCAATTGCACTACTAGACATTTATCCAAGGGATACAGGTGTGCTGTTTTGAAGGGACACATAAACCCCCATGTTTATGGCAGCACTATCAACAATAGCCAAAGTATGGAAAGAGCCCAAATGTCCATCGATGGGTGAATGGATAAAGAAGATGTGGTATATATATACAATGGAGTATTACTAGGCAATCAGAAAGAATGAAATCTTGCCATTTGCAA